AAGGGAAAACCCGCGTTAGGGTATAACTATTGTAAGTTAAAAACAAAACTGGATCCAGGGCTGACACTACGGCAAAGGGCCAATATTTCGACTAACAAAATTAGGGGTGATGAATGGTCCATTAAAATTTTTAACTGTTCGCAAAATTTTACCTTTGCTAGATTTGCTCGCAAAATTTAAACGAGTACTCGCTTGCTCGCGCTCCCCAAATTTTTGCGTTGCTCGAAAGCTCGCAAAGCAAATGTTTTATTTCTGCTCGTGCTCGCAAAAAAAACGCAGTGCTCGGCATGCTCGCGAATACTCGCAAAGACCATTTGTCACCCCTAAAATTAGCCTTCCTCAGGGCCAGAGCTATACCGAGAGAAAATATCTTTTAACGGATTAGTAAGTTTGGTTCCACATGTAACTTATATTTCAGCATGCCGGGAACTATGTTAACTTTTTTTTTAAAGAAAGTCCAGTAATTTTTTTTTTCATTTTCAACATAAGAAATATACGGTATTGTACTACCGATTTAAATAAACTACGAGCTTGGTCTACCTGTAGTACATAATCACGGGCAACTTGCAGCGCCCACGTTCGTCTTACCCCCGGAGTGTCAACGTCAGTTGCGCCAACGCTTAAAGGGGCCATAGAATTGGGTCTTAAAACGTCAAACTCGTTAAGATAATTAATACGTTAAACATTATTTCCTCAACTGTGTCGCCTCCAATGAACGATATCTTCTAGTATTGAACTCGGTATTCTTTATATCAAATCCTCGTACTAATATCACAAACAAAGAACCTTTTGCACGCGGTGTTACAAAGACGAAGTCGACAAATGAATTAACAAAAGTGAGACGGCAACAAAGTTAAATCGTTTCATTAATAAAATATATCCTTTAGTTGTTTCGCCATTGAAACAGGTTTTTCTCTACTAACTTAATCGCCATCATAAAAGAGTTGTCAGCAGACATTATACCATATCAATTGGTTAATGAGTTTGTTTGAAAAACAAAAAAGATTAAAGATCATTTATATCCCTCTTCGTCACAAAACAAATAAATAAACAAAATATTGGTACTAACAGTCCTCTGCCGTTTCTGTAGAGGTATATCTAAAAATAGCGCCCAGTTCACGTAAGTAAAGATATAAGCTTAAGCGGTAAGAAGACCTTTTGAAACAATGCTTGTCAGGTTGTTCAACACCGAGAGACCTCGCCCCTCCCCCTTGACAAGAGGAAGTCAGATAAAAATGATATAAAAGGAAGAAAGTTGCTCAGATAACCTCACTGCGAGCAGCAAGCTCACTAGAAAAGATACCGAGGCCTCGAGTCAAAGGATTCTTAGACTGCAGTATCTTGGTTTCTCTACTAAAGCTTCGATAAAGTACTTATTCAGACAGTTTGCTCTTACATCATATCCATCATTTTTGGTAAATAAGTTGAACAACCTTAGTTAAATATTGCACTTAAGCATAGTCCATGATCTAAGTCTAGACACTCGTTACTCTTTTTACGAAGGCATTGTGCGCATGTTTTATTCAACGAGTCAACGTTTACGAAGAAAGAGTACTCGATGTTGTTGTCTCTTTTCAAAAATACTTTAAGGTGTTTGATTTCTTAAATCAATGACGAAAAACCGTATTAGTATCTTCTCTTTTTGGCTCGTACGAGTACGTTGTCTGAAAAAGAATCTTTTATAATCTTTGTTAGGTTTTGTCTTGTATAGTTGTGTTCACGCCTTCAACTTACCCATCGGTTGTCCTAAAGCATTTAAATAACATTTTAAGTCTGTTTGCCCTCAACAAATCGTTGCTGAATAGTCAGAGAGTCAATCTAGCCTTACAGTGGTCCTGCAATTCAGCCCTGATGGTCAATTCGCTCTGACCAATAAAGCTAGATTTGCTTTAATTTTGGTCGCTGCGAGTTTAAATCCTTGGCCATGATTGTAACCAAATGCTTGATTCCTGCCACGTTTTCTGACCTGATAGGTTCTATTTAGATTATTTCAGTAATTCACATTATTTTAGTCAGCACATGCCGCCTAGTGCAAATAAGTTTAGCATTATTTTACAAGACAATACTGATTCATCAAAATATCCATTTTCTTGTCTCAACAGTCAGAAAGGCAGAAGCAATTAAAAAGAAAATGAAGGCAACAAGGTATTATGCTACCGTTTTTACTTTCACCTAGGAAAACGGGGAAGAAACAGAAGAAACTATTAGTTAACTTCTCAGGAGCCGACAGTCACTCTCTGCCTTCGAAAACCTAAAATTTGTCTGTCATATAATTTACATTTACAGGCTTAAAAATCGTCCCAGTTTAGTGTAAATTTCTCTTACGGACATCACTTTTTAATTTAAGGGCTCAATATTGACAGAGCGATTTCTCGCCGGAGCTTATTTGTTAGAGGAAAGCTATCATGACAAATGAATATAATTATCTGCGCACTGTTTCGTTCATACTGTATAGTAGGGAGTTAGTCAAGATACCAAAAGCTCGACGGCGAAAACGTCACTTAAAAAGTGAAAGACAGTTCATCGCTCTTATTCCCTCTCGTTCAATTTTTCAAATGCAGGCGAAATATTTTGGGGGGGTTGAATTCTTCAGGGATCTTCCGTAACGTAAAAATAGAAAGTTTCACGTCGTTCTCCTTCGACAACGTCAGAGAAATATAGCAAAGATGGTCTTATACATACAAGTGTAAAGTTATTGTTTTTGCGAATCTTTCTTGATGCCGTCGATCGAGATTATTACGGATATTCAACTATAGCAAAGGTGTCGACAGATGTTACGAAGGAGTTGTTTATAAGGAAGTAAAGCCTGAGGTTTGTGTGCCACTTTTTCCTATTTTCAACGTTTTGAAGTTGCCTGACGTGATCTATTACTAAACAGACACTCGGAAACTTGGGCCAAATTCTATTTGATAAATAGAGCCAATTATAGACAAGTGTGGTCAATTGTTAATAATGCGGACACAGCTGGGTTCCTTCAGTTTCCTTATTACGTGAGTTTGACTTGTATTCTAATTTATCAATCCACTACTTTCACATAGACTATAATGCACCTTGCTTACCCCCCGAAATTTTGCATAACCATTGTGTCCAATTTCTCCTGGGAGTATAACAGTCGACCCAAGAGAAATCCAGGACAATGGTTTAGCAAAATGTTAGGGGTAAACAAGGTGCATTATGGTCTATGTGAATATGGTAAATTGTTCATTGCCCACCTAAACTGGTACATCAACAGTTCAGAGACCTTAGCCTTAATTAACGTAATTTTGTTTCATTATTTAAAACTGACACTTGAGAATGGAACTGAAAAAGATCAGTATTTTTGAAAGTGCACCACTGACTGTCTACAAGTCTTTCTCCTGGAACCTATTGCTGAGTTTATTCTTGACTGCTTTTACGTTACTTTATGACTCCCAGTCACTGTTTATACATTTTTAATTATTGCCAAAGTGTAATCAGCATACCAAAGTTCAACTATTCACAAAGTTAAATTGCATTGGTACGAGTTAATAGGCCCTTTGCAGTTAGTCATGGTACAAAACAGCCATGGGTACATGTACATCGTGGGCGCTTTCCACTCAACCAAAACGTCCAGTTTGAATTTTTGGCAACTTCCCGTAGCGAATGGAACAGCATTTTCCAAACTTCCCAAAAAAGAGGAAAACCTCGCGAGGTGGACCCAAATTTTCCAAAATGTTTACCCGGAAGTTTCCTTTCCATTCAACTTTGCTCCCAGAATTTCCAGAATTTTTGGTTGAATGGTTCGCATTTCGGAAATTCAACACTTTCCAGAATTTCTGAAACTTTTCCGGAAATTTCTGTACCATTGCCTTAGTTTCCAAATTTTCGAAAGTTTAGGTTGAATGGAAAGCGCCCCATGTGAAATGGTAACTTGCTTTGTTTGTCTCACCCCAGTGCGTCACTTGCTCTCCAGCATGGCTGTTTTGTACCACGTGAATGACTAGCCGTAAAGGGCTTATTCAGAGCCATCCAAGCCAGGTTTTTTGAAAAAATTAAGTGGCTTTAATACAAACTCGGAATTTAAACTTGTAAAAAGTGAGCGTTTTTTACCCTGAAGGCTAAAAGCTAAAAGCTTCAAGTAGTAGTCCTGATCAAACAAGAAGCCGTAAAAATGCTATAAACCATATGTAAATACGATAAAAACTCGCGAATAAGACTGGTTGTTAAGAACCTGTTGGGCTAAAATTTTCCAATTAGTCCCTCTCTAATCAAGAACCTGTTTAGCCTAAAATTTGAAACAGCTTCTTATTTTCTAAAATCTATGAAAAAAATTTACACGTGGGCAAATAATAAAAGTGTAAGTCGACATTAAGGATCCTCTTTGGAGACATTAGTGCTTTATTCGGCTCCAACTACAATTGTAATTGTATGCAGGTTTTACCTAAGGAATGAGCTGAATACCGCTACAATGTATTTTTTCTACAGAAAATAAGAACCTATTTCAGAACATTAATAGCCTAAAATTGTACTAATTACCATTATTTTAATGAACCTGTTTAGGCTAACTTGGGAAAATGCAGGTTCTTAGTTGCGGGACTAAGGTATCTAAGGTCAATTTGAGATTTCCGCTCTCTTTGTTTCCATTTCAGCATTCTCCTATGCATTGCTGTTATTGTTGGCACTTATGAAGTACGCCAAGCATCGTCCTCTGATGCAGCTGCCAGACTACTTTTGAAGATACTGAAGAATAGAGCAAACTGCGAAACACCCTTAAAACGGCTTAAGCATGTCTACAACGCAAGTATCGCACATTTGACGGCACATGCAACAATCTGTGCAACATAACTCTGGGATCCGCGGAACAACCTCTGGAGCGTTTACTGCCACCCGACTATGAAGGACCTGTCGGTAGTCAAGCACCACGAAGTTTGGGAGTTGATTTTAAGCTACTTTCAAATCCCAGAAAAGTTAGTGTTGAAGCTTTGGAGAACAATGATACTGCGAATATCAATGGCACTATTGTGAATTTTACCCATCTGACAATGACATGGGGACAATTCCTAGATCACGATGTCACCTTAACAGAGCTGCCTGAAGGCTTAGATTGTGGAATAAACAATGCACCATGCCAACCCATTCCTGGATGTGTTAACATAAAAATCCCGAATGGATTAGAACTGTTATTTAACGAATCTGTACAATGCATTCCTCTTGCCAGGTCTGTGAGAAACCCAGCTGGTGACCAGGTTAGTGGAGTATTTAACTCTTTCATAAATGTCCAGTGATACACAGAATGGCGTCTATTTCATGTGGTTTTCCACAGGCAGCCCAAGCTCAGTATGAGAGTTTAATCATTAACACGTGTGGTATCCTATTGCGTAATCCTCAAAACCATCGTGAACTTAAAGTGCTTAAATGGAAATTAGGTAAGAGATTCAAGAAGATCAATACTCGCTGGAATTTCCAACAAAGAAAAATGCTTAACTTTGTTAAGTTAGTTATTGTTTGCTTCCTGTGTGATTTTTTTCCCGATCTGATGCGATTTTAGGAGAAGAAACACAGTGATGGAAAAAAATAAAAAATTGCTAAATTCGCATCAGCACACATGAAGCATGTCAATGATTAAACTCTCATAGTTTGGGCTGTCTGTGGATTTTCCAGAGTGGGAAAGTTTTCCAGACGCGAGAACCCTTAAGAATAGAACACAAACTAGGTTTTGAGTGAGAGTAGGACTAAACGTTCTAAGTAAAAGTTATGCATAAGCGAAACAGGCTAGACTAGGCTGCCGTTTCCGCGAACATCTTCGAGGTGTTGAAAGAGACGCATTAAAGCTCCCACTTTAATGTTACAAATAAGGCCAGCCAAAAACGTGGTAATCATCTGCAGTGTCACATGGCACTAACAAAAGACTCCAGGGTTTGAATGACACTCAGAGTCCATGGAAAAGCATTATTTACTCGTTGGCATACACTATTATCATTCGATGCAAATTTTTCTTCCTTTTCATTGGCCTAGAGCCCACCACGTGATCTGCAAATAACTCCAACAAATAATGGTCTTTTCATGCGAAATGTCGTCCAACTGTGTTTGGCTGCAAAAAATCTTCTGCTCATGTGTAAATGAAACCTCGCTTTTCTCCTCCTTGCAATCGCTCTTCCGTTAAAATGGCAGATTGCTTCCAGTCAATGAGTTTATTCATATTTATAAATATTTTCAGTACTCAGCCTCGTCTGATAATTGTTAAAATGTTATTTTTCATTTGAAATAAATATTATCTCTTATACCAATAACGTCTTTGAATTATTATTTCAGATAAATATTATTACCGCTTATGTTGACGGGTCACAAGTGTACGGATCAAGCGATGAATTAGCTAAACAGCTTCGAAGTCCCAAAGGCCATGGACTTCTAGATACGGTGCCACTGAGAAACATTGGAGGCCTACCAAGACTTCCTGATGCTAGTGAAGAAGCTTTCTGTAGATCTCCCAATCCAGAAGAAAAACCTTGCTTTATTGCTGGCGATGCTCGAGTCAATGAAAATCAAGGTAGAAAAGACATTCTCTTTTTAAAAATCTTTCAAATCACCAATCAAAATTCAAGTCAAAAGAAAACAGATTCATATTATTTAAGATAGTATCATTCAGTGAAAGTGCCGCCCAAGACACATAATTCGTTTTGTGTGTTTTGTCATCTTACTATTCATTTGATTCATTTACAATCACTGCTTATTAAAGATAAAGGGAGACAGAATGAATGAATGAAAGAAAAGAAAACTAAAGAAAGAGATAAGATAGAATGGAAAAGGGCAAGATATGGCTAAACTAATTCAAAATAACCTTTAAATCAAAGTAGGCACAATTTGCACTGTAACAAGCAAGGTTTGAATGACATGTACGTGTAGCATTTCACGGCGCTCACTTAGAATATAGCCTGCGAACAGGCTCCAGAAAGCGGAGCGAAAAAAAAACGGCGAAGGAAGCAAGCCCATGTGTGCACGAATGTTATTGAAGCCAATGTATTCAAACGTAAAAAAAAACTAATTTGACAAGTCTAATTACCTTATTCACATATTTGTTAGAGAATAATTGCAAGTGGATGCGCTACGATAGATGCAAACTGGTTAAAAAACTGGTATTATAGTAATTAACTAACAAGAGTCTAAATTTTCATTCAAAACTCGTCTCTTAATCAGCATAAAGGAATAACCGTGGAGTAATTTTATTGCAGCTCTTATGGCGATGCACACTTTGTGGGTCCGCGAGCACAACCGTATTGCAACAAACCTTAAATTACTCCGTCCCTACGCGGATGACGAGACACTGTTTCAAGAGGCGCGTAAGATTGTAACAGCAGAGCTTCAACATATCACCTATAATGAGTGGCTTCCAGTATTATTCCCCAGTAAAGAATTGGTAAGAACTTTATCAAAGTACGTTAATTATATCCCCACCTATGATGAGTCCTCTTACGGCCTCTTGAACTAACTTGTTCTTCTGTTGATAATCATTTCACTAAAAATTCTTAGGCATTTAATTAATTTAACTGATAGAACGTACTGTGGTTTAGAATTTGACTTCCCTAAAAGCATACGTGATGGGTAATGCGCAATTAATTTCCTAGGAGACCCACAGATTGATGAGACTTAAGAACCAGTAAACAAATTTCAAATTGTTAAGTTTTTAATTTTTTTTTTTTTTCTTAATTCAGTCTCTATGTTATTTGAAATAACGTTTTGGCTACGAATCTCAGCCTTAGTCAAATTCTTGAGATGTTTTTAAGTTTAATTTTACCTTAGCCGTTCTTCAAAAAAGGTTTCGTACTGAAAAAGAGTCACTGTGTAACTGTCAGTTCAATGCCGGAAAAAAGAAATGTTCACCAGTGCAGAGAATAAGTTCTTTGTTTAATACAATAAAAAAAACAGTAAATTTTAAAATCATTTTAAAAAATTTTGAATAGTTAAACTCTCACGGAGGAATTCTTTCCTAAATTTTAACTTCGCTTTAAAATACAATACATCTGCACTTTGTCACTAGTTTACTGATTCGCTAAAAAATAATGCTCTAACTTGGGAACTGGTAAATGCGTCATGTTGTCAAAGTGACAATTTTGCATGATTCTTACCTTTGCAATCATTTATTCTTTTACTTCTTTCCTTCTGCTCTAACGCTTGGCCCAACGCGCACGTATGTTGAGCTCTAACTCATTTTAAGCTAAGTCTAAACTAAGGGGGCCTCCATACTTGGAAAAAAAACGGCCACTTATCTGATAACTGATCGGCGAGAGCACACACATTATTTGCGTCATCCTTGCCCCGCATTAATACAAGAGAGCGCATTTTAAAAATGTTTTTATATTTCTTTTTCAGAGAAAAGAATTTAATGTTCTTTTAGAACCTAAAGGAAAATTCTTCACTGGATATCAGTGACCCCGAAGTGAATATGCAATGCACCAACGTTTTCTCTACATCCGCTCTGAGAATGGGTCACAGTTTAATTCGCGCCGTTTTTGATTTGACAGCAGGCGACGGCACCTTTAGTCGATTTAGAGGATCTGATCGGTCCCTGCCTAGAGCCATTCGCTTTAGTGTTGACGTTGACTTCTTCGACCCAACAAGGTTTTTTAATAAAGAAGAACAAAGCGTCTTTACAAGAATACTTATCGGGCTAACATCTATCGAAGCCCAGACTCCCGATCGGTAAGTAGAACGCTCTTTTACCCTTAATGATATTTAGACTGGGCTTGATTTAGGTCCCTAGGACTCTAACTCCAGGAGTATACTATTTTAACTGACGCAGCACGCCAGGAAAGTCTACAGAGCTGAAGGTGGTTACTGCCCTCTCCATTTCCTGATCCCACCATATCGGATCCATTTAACCAAGACTGCAGTTATAGCTTTGTCTTCACAGTCAGCCCCACTGAAGGTCAAACTCCCATCCTTTGTAGTATTCTTTCCGCTTAACGTTGTGCTCTTTTATACTCCATCATACCCTTTTATGTCGTACAGTCTTAATAGCCTCATGTGGTTAACCTTTCATGAGAACGCTACACGACTCCCTTTATTGCCGGTATAGTGTAACCTAACGCTGTGTTGACACCACACCTATAGCTCTTGCGTAGGCACGAAAACTATACCGGATAGGGCTTCTTTTCACACATAAATTATTCTAATGTGGTCTATGTGATATGGATTAAGTCGGTTTCACTAATCGACACTTACATCCACGCATCACACAAGTTCAAACTCTTTGATCGGGAGGCACATCTTGTGAAAGAACATGGGGTCGAGAAGCCAACCCTGAAGGACAATTTTTCGGTCCTCAAAAAATGGAGAAATAATGATTCAAATGCCTTGTCTACGAGATGCTATTTATGGCACGAACTCAAACCATCACTGAACATGCAATCGGATTCGATTCACGCTAAGCTTTTCTATTAAATACATTTACATAGGGTGAATTTATTTACAGCATACGCGTAAACCCGTCGCATTTGCCCACAGGAATTTTTTATTTATTTAAGCTCAAAAACTATAAAAAATTCAAACGGGCAAATGCGATGTATATACCCGTATGCTGCGAATGAATCCACCCATAATAATGAATCACGCACGAATGCAATCTAATTTATTCAAACTACACCTCTTTTAACAACTTTGAAACTTGACAGTTCACACTCTTGATAATGATGTTGACAGCATCGAGTAACGTTCTTAAGTTTACATTTTCTTGTTAAATCAGCTTCAACAAGCACTGAACTGAGTATCGGACAAAATTATTTTTAGTCCCCAGATGGCCATGTAACTTTCTTGACTGAGTCATTGTTTGTAGACAACTTCTCCTTCCTTAATGTAGACGCTTACGTATTAGAAAAATGATTTCTCTAATAGAATCTCATTCCTTTTATAGTATCTTTGTGAACGCTGTGCGCGAGCGACTCGTCATTGAAGGTAATATCTTTGGCGATCTCATGGCCATCAACATTCAGCGTGCTCGGGACCATGGCCTACCAGGTTACGCCCATTATCGAGAAGTGGTTGGATTGGGAGCTGTTAATTCTTTTGATGACATTTCGGATAGTTTCTCTTCAGAGCAGATTGCAAGATTTAAGTTAGTATACAAAGATGTCAAAGATATTGATGTATTTCCCGGCTGCATAGCAGAGACCCCCTTACCAGGAAGCCAGCTTGGACCCGTAAATACCCATCTTATACTAAAGCAGATGCAAAAGTTCCGCGAAGGTGATCGCTTTTGGTACGAGAGAGATGACCACTTGACCGCCTTTACGATCAAACAGCTGGATGAAATAAGAAAAGTTACTATGGCTAGAGTCATGTGCGACAATCTCGACGGTGCCACCCGCACTCTGCCTTGGGTATTCAAAACAAGAGAATCTGGGCAAAAAGTGGTTGACTGTGCAGACCTAGATTACGTTGACCTGAAAGAATTCAGTCAAGGTAATTTTTACCAATTTGAATATTTCTAATATATTCTATTTATTTTCATCTTCCATCTGTAGACTAATATTATTACACTTGACGAGTTTTCTCTCGTGTTTGACAAACAGGAGACGCGGCATTACGAGTATGAGTTAGGAAGTTAACGCAACGAGAGAGCTTACTCACAGTCACTCACAGGGTACAGAAAGCAACACAAACTAGACGCCAGGAGGCGTTCAGTGTTCTGTCAAAAACTTCAGGATTTCTAGACATATATATGATATTTTATGACAACGACAAGCTTGACAGAACAAACTACAGCTCATAGAAGAAGTTGACTGCATTTTGATGTGCAATGATTTGGGGTCAACTGACTTTTGACCATGCAAGGATGGAAATGTAGCATTGATAACAGAGCTTGGTATCCTAGCCTTTGAGTGAACGTGAGGCTGGGGTTGACCTTGTTTTAACACAAACCTCTTTCCTTTTCTCATGGAAACTGTGCTAAAAAAGTCCTAGTTAGCATAAAAACATCAGGATTTACAAAGCAAAGCAGGAAGGGTTGTCTTGGTCAACTCCAACATCGTTTTCGCCTGTAACTGTAAAATTGTCTATGATATGTTCAAATAATCAACCTCGGTTAAAATAATGTATTGCTCAATTACGTTGCACCGTGAGTAACTACTATTTTTTTCCTTTTCTTTAATTTTGATAGGAGCTGGAGTGGAGCCGATGGAAGAAACTGGTGGTGAAGAAACTGCCGCTGCCTGAATCCGTCATCAAGTGTAAAACCCTTACTTTTCTTATTCGTAATTTCACTTTATTCTAAGTAAAGATAGGATGATCATGCAAACCTTTAAGAGAGACGGCAACAGGCAAGAAACCAAGCATTTCTTCTATTCAAACCCTGCAGTCTAATCTCCTGCTTTATCAATAAAGTATTTGAATGAAATGCCACGAAGTCTGATGTAGTTAATAGCAGCGAATTTAAGGAAACGGATCTGCTTACCCTGACGTCGCCCTTTACTAAATACACCCTTTGACATGAGCCAGTTTGAGAAAATCCTTCGCCACACCACTGAAAAGGGCGCCTTGAAATTAGTAAAACTGTCAAATTTGAGAGCAATACGTCTTAAGCGAGCGAAGATATAGCCAGTAACCAAAGTTGTATGGTGGGGGGCAAGTTTGTACCCTCCACCATACAAACGTCCGCAAAATTTCGCAACTTTGAGGATTTATAATTATTTTGTTTGTTTGTTTTTTCTAACAAATCACTCCCAAACTTGGAAATGTTACTAATTTTGAGGAGCTTTTTCCAGTGGTTTCGACGGATTTTCCCTGACTTACTGTCCATGTCAAAAGTTGAAAAAAACCGTGGAAGGGTTTATTTCGTTTATCCTAACCCATCACTCCAAGTGGAAGAAAAGACTATCAACCTGTCCTCGCCAACAAACTCTAAAGTTGGGCAGTCAGACTTCTTAGACTTGTCCACATCTTCCCCACGCTCCCTGGATTTAACAGTCCATTTGTAGAAGGCCTAAATGTAATAAACGGCCCTAAATGTAATAAAGTCCTAAATGTAATAACATTTTGTCCTAAATGTAATAACAATTTGCCCTAAATGTAATAAACTCTTAAGCTGCCAATTACAGTAATTACTCGAATAAGCGCCGCCCTCAAGTAAGCGCCGCTTTTGGAGGGGGGGTTGAAGTTAGTTAACGCCGCGGCGCTTATTCATGTAAATACGGTACTAAGCGGTATTACTATGGTAGCGAGGCGCTAATTCGCGTAAACTCGGTACATTTCCCTATGCACTGTGAAACTTAACGTTTACAAATAAATTGCTTGTAAACGGCAAAGTAACAGTATTTTTCTAAAAAAGCAATATTTCAGCAATAGAAAGCTTTGTTCCTGTGTTTGCATAGCCTGATATAAACACTCGAGAGGTTGGGAGAATTCGAGAGAGTTATGCAAACCCTCGACGTCGTCTCGGGTTTGCATAACTGTCAAGAATTCTCTCAAACCCTCGAGTGTTTATATCAGGCTATGCAAACACAGGAAAAAAGTTTTCTATTGCTTTTATAATATAACTTTCCCGAGAAAAAAGAAAAACTCTTTGTTTAGGTTACTAATTAAAAGAGAAATTCTTACCTGTCGCAAAGTCTTGTACACGAAGCTTAATGTATGTGTAATCAGTTCTTGTTTTGCAATAAAGATGCTTTCCAAACAAGGGTTTTTCTCGCTTAAAATGTCAGCTTAAGCGAAAAAAAATTGGCACAGCATATTTGTAAAGATTTTCCAAGTCTCATCCGACGAGGGAATGGGTAAATAAAGTAACTTTGTCGAGTTTTCAACTCAAAAACTTTTTAAAATTCGTGCTTGTGTGATTAGCCCGCGAAGAGCAAAACATCTTGACTCCACACATGTTT